TATAAAGTATGCTCAAAGAGATCAAAGGTATCTTGCGGGAGAAAGTTGTCTCGTACCAAGTTGTGCCTGAAGCTTGGAGCCGCGAATTGGCCGGTCTCGCATCTCAGTCATGAGTATTGTCTTGTGGGTCAAGCTGGGCAGTGAGGGTAGCAGACGAATCCCGTGTGAAAAAAAGGGACGGGGTGCTAAGGATCCGATGGGACGAGGAGCAGCAGGGCTGGCTGCCCAACTGCAAGAAGGAAGACTTTTTTTTATGTCGTGGAGCTGCTCTTTGTGCCAAGACACGGTCTCGAACACTAAGGGTCGTGCGGCGCCAGACGGAGCAGAGCATTACCAGCTTAGTGCTTCTTGGCATTCAAGCATGACCAGCACTTTGATGCTAGCCGCTAGTGCTGGAAGTCCTGTGCATGGAAACATTTAAGTTGCCTCTGGGCTGTTTGTCTAGTTGGACTATGTCGTGGGCGTAGGTGGCCGAGCAAAGGTCCTTGAAGAATTTGATGCCTTACCCAGAGAAGGAGGAGCCGGCGAAGCCAAAGGAAAGAGAGTTTAGTCCCATCAGCTTCCTGGCCACCATCATCGGCGCGCTGATCCTTTTGGGCACGGCCGTCTCTGTGCTCGTGCCCCTGGTCTCCGGCCTATACAAGGACATGACGGGTGAGTACTTGGTGAGATTAGACGTGCCTTCGCTGTACTGATAAACTGACCGCTGCAGTCCGCAAAAAACGGCCGTGCAGTGCAGACAGAGCACACGATATGTGGGTGACGGAGGCATCGGGTTCGACGGAGTACCAAACGGCTGGTAGACCTAGCTGTCACTAAAGTCAAATCCCATTCTTTCCACAGTCCCATGCCGCATCCGCCTGGCAGCCCGAGTTCATTCTGAAGTTTCGTGCTTGGGAGCTTCCGGACTTATGGCTACACTCGCTAAAGCCCCACGGCCCCAATCGCAGACTCCTACAAGGACTTCTCGCTGTGGTCTCGAAATCCCGCCCCTGGAAAAGTTTTCGGTTCGGCACTTTGGAGATTGCAAGGTTCTGCCCGCCCGGCCTGTGACAGGCACCTGGCTCAAGTGCCCGTCTGCCCATAGTGGCACCCACTGAGCCGAATTAGGGCAACAGCCGCTGCGACATCTCTTGCGGAAGGCCGGGTGTTGAGGCTTTAGGAAGTGCTCAGTGGACTTGAGCTGCAGGCTCGAAGTGGCCTCCGACGTGCCTGACGAAATGGACAAGCTGTCAGATGCAGAGCAGCCGAGACTGCGACCAATTGTGCCAGCTCTCCGGGGACTTAGCTCATTGCAGAGAAGCCACACCTCTTCTCCCAGCTCCTTGGCAGGAAGCGAAAGGGGATCTGGATTGTTGGGGCCGATCCTAGAACTCTTAGCTTCTTTCGAGGTTGCCAAAGATGGGCGGTTATCCGAAATCTTCCTGCTCTGCACCGAGGTGGCCGAGGGCTTGTCTCAGCACCTTCGCGGCTGCGCCGAGCGGCGAGCTTGCCCTTCTTGCCGTCAATCCAGCTCCGTGGTGGGGATTCAGATTCTTTAGTTTTGTTCGATTTTGGGCTGGGCCCTTGACGACCTTCTGAGCCAAGCCCAGAACTTGAAAGCGTGTTCTAGTTTGTTCTGATATGTGATATTTGCAATGAGGAAGACCCATCCTTCCTGAAGACGGCTCGAAGCTCTCAGGTCTGTGCGTCGGTCGATGGCTGGTCTCCTTTCATCCCGACGCGCTTCGCGATCGGGCCAGGGTGCGGACCTACGCGAGGCGAATCATGCATTACAATCGTCACAAGTTTCCTTTGTCAGCAATGTGAACCACGCGTTCAAGTTGGATTTGGGGGGCTTAGCTTTGGCTACGTCCGAAGAGCCATGAGAGCCATGAGAGCGCTTCTTTCTCGGATGGAAAGGCTCGTGGGCCGGGTGGCGAGCTCCCGGAATTAGGGGTCCGCGTGGTCCGGCAGACAGGAGGACAGGTCGTCGCTCGGGGTATTTGTGGGTTTGAAGACTTCCTGCGATTGTGGTTGCTCCATTTGTTGCGGTCCGAAGGATCTGTCAAAGCTCCACGCCGCTTGGCTCCGCTGTCGTTACATATTTTTTGCCAAGCGACGAATTCTGGATTCTGAAGTTCGTCCTGGTCCGTGCATGCCCGGAGCAGAGCACATCAAGTAACATAGGAAAAGCGTTCACGGGGTTTTTCAGGAATCGCAAGCATGGGACAAGACATTCCCCATGGCCATGGTGGCATAATACCAGGCCAGCATCATGGAAGCACACAGAGCACACGCATGGAGCTGAAGAGCTGCTCATTGCGGATGCATGCTTCTGACTTGTAGGTGTGGCTCTCGTGCACCCATGTTGCAATGCTACTACAATGTTACTACAACTGCATGTGTCTTGCCAGATGGCCTAGGCCTGGAGGATGCAGCTGCGGAGGAGGCTAGGCTAGACAAGCTTCGAAGGGCCTGATTCTTTGGGAACCGCCCGTTTGCTTTATCCTGAGACCAGTCTGTGAGGGCATGACGTGGCCCCGACGGGGTGAGCAGCTGAAAGTTGTGTAAGCTCTGGGCTCTGGGGGCCCTGAGGCCTTGGAGCCTGAACCACTTAGGCGCATTTTCAGGGATCCCGTCAGTCACTCGCTTGTGCGGCAGCCATTTTGGCCCTGTTTCAGAGAATATGTGTGCAGCCGCCGGATGCAGTCCAACCCCCCAACCCCACAGTCCCAGCCACTTAGCAAAACCAGGTCCAGGCCCGTTCCAATGGCTTGACCTGCAGTAGCCTGCAAAACCCTCCATGGAAGGACACAAGTAGCCGAGCTTCATCAGCACAGTCTCAGTGGCAAAAAGAGTCAACGGATTGTGTTCACATGGCGACGGCACAAGCGGTCGCAGAGGATGCGCAGGCCCAAATTCTGAAGCACTTCACACATTGGGATGCCGAGACCTGGCCAATGAATTAGGCGGCGCTCTAAACGGGTCCAGAAACTTGTGACATGTTCAGCTACTCCGGGGTGTGATGCAGGAAGCTCAACACGAGTCGAAATCTTTTTGCACGTGCTCAACGCCTCGATAACAGTCTGGGTGTTGCCTCAGGACGGTAGTGGCACAATCGACAAGGACGAGCTGGCAGCCATAATGTATCCCGATAGTGCTGAGGTCGACGCTGCGGTCCATCAAACCGGCATCCATTTTTTATCACGAAATGTTGCATTCCTGAATGCCGAGGTACAAAGTGTCATCTTCGATGTCCCAGAGAGACATTACTCGTTTGCTTGCAGTCATCGATACAAACCAGGATGGCCTCATAGACTTTCGAGACTTGGCCAATGCAGGCACCCTCTTTCCATGTAAGCCGATCTTTGCCCTTTAGCTTGCTCGCATCTAGTACTTGTGTCAAGACCAGGCACGTGCCTTGTTGCCTTTTAGGAAGTTTGTGTTCAGGAGAGTTTGTGGCATGGATTACAGATCGCCGAGCCGATCGAACAGTTGGGAATGATGGCTGGATAGAGCACTTCGATGTGGAGATGCTCTTGAGGCCCATGTTTGAGGTTTTCGACCGAAATAAGGATGGGCTCATACTGCGAGCAGAGCTCGAAGAGTGCTCTCAAATCTTGGGAAACTCACTGAGCATTCATCCGTCCGCTTCGCCGGATTGCCTAGCAATGGATTGGAAGCAGCTGCCTAGCAACGAGACAGTGAACTTCCAGCAGTTTGTGGATTGGCAAGTCAGCTCGCTAGAGAAATGCGGCATTCCGAACAATCAGCTGCCAAGATTGCTGCTTGGCCTGCTTTGTGGTGGTGTTTTGTCGCTGTGCCTCGCTGCTGATCCTTTTCAAAACCAAGCATGTGATCTTATGAGTTGCTTCAGCTGCTTGAGTGCCCATTTGGACTTATAGGGCTTGTCTCACTACAGATCTCTTGTGCGGCTTCCCATCTTAATGGTGCTTCCGCCCACGAGCCCACACTTGCGCCGACAGGAAAGTGTTGGATGCTCTAGAGATTCCCAAGGCTGGAGGAGCTCTGTGAGTCCCTGCAGATTATCTTTGACATCGACCGGTTGCACGACCAGGGCGTCGATAATTCCAGGGTTCACGATGCCCTGGCAGAGTCGGTCTGAACCTCGCTGGGTCATTACCAGTGCGCAGACTCCACCGCTCTGCTTGCACTTCAGGTGAGGAAGGTGGCAGATACCACCCGCCGAATTTACACCCGGAAGTTGTCGCGACTTAGCTCCATTCACTCGACTGTGCAGTGGTGGCCGTGGTGGTTGTGAAATAGCACTGGATGACAAAGGCTGACTGCTTTCTGAAGAAGGAAATGTGCAGTTGAGCATGCATGTGTAGGCAGTCAGGCGCACATGGGCCAGAAGTTATAGCGACCTTCGTTACATATGCTGCTCAAGTGGTTTCATCCGTACAAAGTACCCCGTCACTAGCCAGCTTGACCTACTTCTCAGGGTGCGATCCATCAGAGACAGCTCTCCGAAGTTTGTCTGGATCCTTGTCGCTGAGGAACATCGACAACCAGGATGAGGCAACCAGAATAGCCTAGCAAGTAGTATCTGCATGTATCATTGTGGACTTGTAAACCCACGCTGCCCGTCTGTCCAGCAGACCCATCTATTTAGCCAGACATCGCAAACATCATTGCAAAACGTGTCCTGCCAGCCTGCAGAAGCCGCAAAAAATCGCCAGGTCATGCCTGAAGAACGGGCTGTGTGGGTTTGCCCACCTGATGTCAATGACATGCACCTGCTTGCACGGCTCTGCGCCAAGAGGAATGGCGTCAGGCGCGTCGTATGAGAAGGGTGGTGTTGCATCGGAAGGATCTGCTGATAACTACAGGGGACTATATGCAAGCAGAATTTGTGAGAGGCTGTTGAACTACCAGGAAGAGGGCACAATCGAGCCGGCACGGGCCTCGCAGAGAGCAAGGGTTTGTTAAGAGCATTTGCCCATCGTCGATCCTGTTCAGGCTGCGGCCGAAAGGGCACGGCACAGACCCAGCGCGATTCCGACGTCTTCGCGGCCGGGGAGAGGGAGGACTGAGTCTGCAACCTGCGCAACTGGGTTGCTTGCGCTGTCATCGGACGTAAGGTCGACTTCCCGATGTAGGCGAACTGCGCCGTTGTGGCAGGAACTCTGTTTCAAATCTTCCGCAATCCCCTGCCACCAAAAAGGTCCGCAAGCTGTCCATCCGAAGCGTCTTGGCGTTCACACTATATGCCTGCTCGTATCTGAAGAAGCGGCGTGACCCGCTGTACTGGTCACTGAACGGAGGTGAAGTGCGCTTGGCAATCGGACACGTCTCAGTGTGCATTCCTGATACTCTTACGGATCTACCACCGACAGATCGGCCCTGGATGGCGCAACTCGACAATTGCCATTTTCCGATTGTTGTTGAAGTGAGACCGAGACCTTTAATCAGCAAGCTAAGGAAAGTCACCCGCTCCCAGTACGACATCGACCAACGCAGGATGATCAACGACGTGCTTATATACGTGTTGAACCGATGCTTGGTAGTTCTCAGATGTCAGGGAAGCAGAACTGCCAGCGGGTAAAGGGCTTGGGAGCTTGCAGGGCATCGTTTGATGCATATGCGAGCCAAGCGCGAACTGGGATCGTGTTTCGTTTGTGGAACTAGTGCCAACGAAGACTTGAGAGCTTGTTTGCGACGTACATGAGCCATACGAGGGTAATGGCAGGCAAGGCTGCCTTGAATGCTGTCAGAGTCATCCAGGGCTACCAGTGATGTCCAGGCCCAGTAAATATCTCAAATCTACCCACCGCTGCGCAGTCGGAGCGCTTCTCTTCTTGCAGCCAATGCCGGGGATCCTGAACTGAGGAGCAAGTTCTATCTGGACGGTCATGAAGGACCAGAGTCAACAAAACAGTGGGGCATATTGACCGGCCATTCGTGATTCCCTCGAATTTCGACAGGACACTCGGCACTTCGAAAGGTCATGGAATGCGCTACCGCCAGCCTTGCAACTCTTTGCCTTGCTCAAAGCACAGGTGCCAGCCTGAAACAGCAGATGGTGTGTGGGATGGAGTCGAACTGCTTTATCGTAGTCCGTTTTTCGTCCTTCATCCCTGGAGTTGAAAAATTGAAGCAGACCGAGGCACTCATGGCTGACTGCATCAGTTGGCACGGCACCAAAACGGCGCTGGAGTCGGCGGAAAACTACGGGCTTGTGAGTGCCGAGGCTGTGGGCCGTCAAGCTTCAACCCAAAGCGTGGTAGATGCGTCAAGGTTTAGGTTCAGAGATCTGTCATCGGATGATCCCGGATGTTCAGTCCTGCGGTATTGCGCTTCGATGATTTGCGGCTGGATCGGTTTCTGCTAGAAGCCGTGTGTGGATAAAACTCGCTTTGTCCAGACTTTAGCAGGCTTGCGACAAGTATCAGGAATCTTGCCTGCAACCTGATCAGTCGGCCTCTTCTCGCTTTTGCATAGGATTCGGATTCGGTATTGAAGCCCAGAGCTGTGCAGTCCCTAGTCCGCAGGTTTCTACCCAAAAGCATCGAAGCAGAGGTTGCGCAAAGCTTCAGGCATTCAGGCCCCTGAGGCCGAATGCATAGCAGAAGGGTTCTGGATAAAATAGTGGGGTCTGTCTGGGGTTGGGCTGTGGCTCGTATGTGCGACGTTGGGGTATTCGAGCAACTGCAATTTGGAACTGTCCAGAGGATCTAGTCTTCAAAAAAGTCAACGGACGGCGGTCTTCTTGTTGGATAAGCTCTCCCAGTTACTCGAGCATATCCGATTGAATGCTCTTGCAAAGGGAATGATCTCTGGCTGCAATCGTGGTGGGCTCCGGAATGTGATGCATTGCCACCAGATGGACCCGTGCGTCATCTGTACGAGTAGCTACTCGTATGTCAAAGTCCGTTCCCAGGCGGACATTCCACGTGGAACCCTTGCCAGTGACCCGCACGGTTGACATTATTTCAATTGGGGCCTCGCCATGTAGGATCGAGTCGCCCTCTTACGCTGCTCCCTGCCGTTAATTGCAGGCATTTTGCCATTCACTCAAGGGAATACTGTTGTTTCTGAGTTTGCGGCCAGAGGGTGGCAGGCGGTTCGTGGAGTCGGCCTTGCAACCGCCAGGCGAGTGAGCATTTTGGGTCCTAGGGATTGGATGGGCTGCTTTGGAGCCTTGTACCTGCGGAGGGACCCAACCGGAAGAGCACTGGCCATGTTTCGCAGCAGCCACAAACCAAAGCCCTGACGCGGACGCTCCAAACTCCAAGCCTTGCCCAGTACCGTCGTGAGCGATTGCGTCGGGAAGAGCCACTTGAGCTGGAGAGGTATCGAGGATGGCATGTAGTCTTGCCCAAATGCCGGCCTTCCTTGCAGTTGCCTTGCGTTTGCTTAGTGTCCAGTCCGTTTGAGAGCTGGTCTTGGTTAGAGGCGCATCGGGTCTGCCATGATGTACAGTGTTTCTGAAGCCGACCTGCAGCTTGGAGCTTTAACCTCCGGGCGGAAGCAGCGACTGATCTTCAAGGGGTCTCACAATGCACAGCCACACTCACTCACTCACTCACTCACTCATTAAGATCGAGTGTACTGGGGCAAGGCAACCCGCATCTGCGAACTTCACTGATAGGAGTGCCAAGATCTTGACTTAATCCGCGCAGCTGCCTGTCTCTGCGCAACATCAAGCCACCTCTGTCCCAAGGTCCTAAGGCTTAAGTACAACTCATGGCCGTCTGGCTACAGGTGGACATTCACGCAGCCAGGTTTGGATTGCTAGGGCGTGGGATCACGGCCTCTGTGTAAGTCTGCTGGTGCAACGCTTTCGTGGTGAGAGTCGCCTGCCACCATATCACCGTCTGTCCAAGGAGCAACAAACTCACACTTATGCAGTTCTTCTTCACGCTGTTCGCCACTCTCGCCAAGTCTTGGCACACTTGATCTGCTTGATGCAACACGGCCGTCGGCCCTCCTGCGGCATCCTGCCACTGTCGACAGATTTCGTGGCTCGGACCCATGCACGGTACTTTGCCCCAGCACCGTCCCCAGATTTACGATCTCCCTCCCACACGACAGCTCCAATACTTGCTTTAATGGAGGCCTTGCGCGTGGATCCACAGAGCGCATCCTTCTCCCCAAGCTTCCAGGTGCTCCTGGATAGACGACCCATGAGTCTGAGCCCTGCCCAACACTTCGGCCCCCCGGACTGACTTTTGTGTCGCCGGCGCAGCCCAGCGAGTTGCAGCTTTCCGTGACTTGCCTAGCTTGCATGAGCTCTTTGTTCCCACCTGAGCACCGAAGGCTGAGCATAGTGCGTGGCAAATGCCGCAATTGGGCCTTTGCTACCAACAAACTCTATGGAGTCTCCATGTGAAGCCTTTTCGGTGAGCTGAAGTTTTTGCACCCACCTGGATGGCCCGTTCCGTTTGCAGCTGCGTCGCCCTGGGGGGCATGTCTTGGCTGTACCGACTACAAGTAATATCGTGTTGGGTTGCCACCGACCGTGACAACACGGCGATTCATCCTGAAATCGTTCGACGGCTAGGATTTAGGACTTTGCAGCGCAAGCTTTGTCAATTTTCGTGAAATGACACACGTGTCTAGATTCGAGCTTGTGCCTTCTGTCAATGTTCTGGTTTGCAAAGGATTTGCAACAAGAAGATTTTCTTTGCTGCGTATGCAAGGAGCACATGGAGCGAACAGCCGAGAAGCACATCCGTGAGATCTACTCTGAGCAGGAGCTCGACCAAATGGACAGCATTGAAGAAGCGGCTCCCTGGCTGGACCCTGACCCTGGACATGAACCAAATGCCGCCCGATAGGCAGTCGCTGTAGTTCTGCTTGAAAGCATCCTGAATACTGGGCAAGACCCTGTTACGGCTCTTTACCTCCAGTCCTGTGAACCCGCTAGCCTGCGGTTCGGTAGTAGCATTGAGGGACAGTGAGGGTGATGCTTGGCTTCAGCTGTCGGTGTGACTCGTTCTGAGTGAGCCCGAACCCACCGGATGCATGTAGCCATGTATCGCGTTTTGGCGGCACCTTTTCAGCGGCTTCTACGAGCCTCTGGCATGTTTGCCCCTTTCCACCCAGAGATCTATGGCTTTCAGAGTGCCACTTGAAAGAAGCGGCCTCTTTCAACCTGCCTGAGGCTGCGGCTAAGCATGGCTAAGCATGGCTAAGCCAGCTAAGCAGCTGGCACCAGAGTTTGGCCAACAGAGTGCGCTAGAACGTCAGAGGCTTCACACAGTGTTCCAACATCGGGATACACTACTCATCGGGTGTCAGCTACGGTTGCAGCGCAGTCTTGTCAGGCTTACGAGTACCTGGAGGAGCATGTCAAGATTTCACCGGTCGAGATTCTAGCGGCCAAGACCTTACCCAGGTGTATCAGCGACGTCACAAGTCAGGAGCAACTCGGTCGAAATTGAGTGAGAAAGCCGTATGCTTGCCAAGGTTCTGTCCGAGCTCGGCTTGATCCAGGTGGACGACAGCGTTTGGAGTCAGCTGCTTGAGGAAGAAGCCACCGACAAGCTGAATGAGATGCCACCAGAGTAGCAGCATTTATCGAATGCCTAGAAAAGTACGCCGCACGCATGCAGAAGCAGAGTCCTTACCACCCCAACCTGTACAGCCTTGCTGCAGGGTCGAAGACATAGCTGCACAAGGTGAAGTTACCATCGCGCATTATTGGGGCTTCTTCCAAGGTAACGTCTCAGAATGAACGGGCAGCGCAAGTCTACTTTTCGGGCTGGACTTTCATGTTCTGAGAACGCTGAGAAGCTCCACCGGTGGTGCGGAGAAATGTCACAGGTGCTTCAAGCGGCTGTTGGGAACAGCTGGCTAACATGTCTCCCAGAGCAAAGCGCTTTGTCGCAGAGCTGCCCACAACAGCCAACGAAGCATCAGGCCGCGGCCGCGTGACTGTGGTGTCTCAACAGAAGACCGGCTGTCCAAAGGACGCCATAATTCGCTTTGACCTCGCGGCGTAGCCGGCTTGCTTCGCGCCACGTTTGGCGCCTAGTGAGTGTCTGCCGGGCGACATGTCGCCACAAAAAACGGCAACCTTCGAGTCTGAGCTCTGGATGCATGCCGAAACAGATGTGAGAAAATGCCTCCACGTGGGAACACGCGGCCAGCGGAGTCCCCGAAGCTTCCTTACGGAGGCAGAGGTAGTACTTCTAGTATTCTGGGGTGGCGGTCGGTCTGGGGCTAGACGGTACTCGAAGGCATCGAATCAAGAGGCAGTCAGGGGTTCCTGTCAGCTCTTAGGCAGCCTGCACTGCTTGGAGTCTTTCACTCCACACCTTTGAAAACCAGTGTGAGGGCCCCTATGCTCGGCGCGAGGAGCTCTGTCTGAGCCGCCTGCCGCGCCAGCAGGAGAAGCACTGCATTAGGCTATATTAGACTATTGGTTTGTATAGCTGGGTGTTCCAGAGGCTGCGTCTCATACATACAGGACGTTCGGATATCTGGTAGATATTGATTGCTATTGCAGCAAGCAATGTGGGACTTTCTGTAGGTCACCTATCCTCGTATGTCATGCCGGCAAGAATGGACTGCTGATGCCAGGAGCTGGAATATGTGGCAGACGCTCTCGTTCGAGAAGTGCAGCTCAACTACAAGCAGATGAAGAAGAGCCTCTTGATGCCTCTTGAGGTAGTGCAGGCCTAAAGTGGGGTCCTCTGGTGGGTCCGCCACATCAGCATGCCTCCCATTTCGACACAGGCTTCTTCAGCTTGCACCGGCAAATCGGCCCAAAACAGACAGCACACGATCGCACCCAGGGCTTGGAAACTATATGCTCCCGACAGCGTGCTGTTTGTTCGCACGTGGTCTTGAGTCTCCCACTAGTGTACCACTGGGCAGTTGCACCCAGGCAGTGACAATAGGCCTCTTCGCCCCTGGAACCATGAGATGCATAATGCACACATGCTGAGGGCAATGGGCCGTGAGGTATCAAGAGCCACTATCTCGCGAATTGCGGCGAGATGTCCAAGCAGCTTGCCCCGAGGCTCCGCGGAGCATTTCCGAAGCCTTGCCTCGGTTTCGGCTGGCACTGATTCAAAACGTCCTTATGTATTCTCCCTTGGCTTCATATTGCTCCATGTCCTTGCGTCTGCAGCAAGAAGAGGAAAATTCACGTCGTCGCAGCAACAGTAGCAGCCCTCTCGCGGGCAGCCCTCTCACGCCGCGAAGCCTAGTTCTGGGTTGGCTTGCTTCGTAAGCCCTCTCTGCGCAGATGTGTCTGTCTGTTCTCTCCGCATCTGCAGGTCGATTGGCTGGCGGAGTGCATCCTTCAGCATCTTGTCCGGATCGGAGAATGAAACATCTCGGCATGCTTCGACAATGCGAAATCAAAGCGGTAGTCTCCAGCTGTGAAACAATGTAGCCCGCAACAGGTGCAGGTGCTAGTACGGGTGCTTTGCTTTCAGCTGTGCTACGCGGCACCATTTCTTGTGCAACCCGGGGTCCAGGTGCCCGTTGCCAGCCAAGTGGCGGAAGGTTTGGAGGCCATGCCAGGCCCTCGGCCGATGATTGCGGAAACGGAGTTCCAAAGCCATTCGATTATTATTTATACTTCGTAAGCCTTCAACCTGCCGAAGCATAAGCTCACCATGAGAGCTGAGTTCGGAGTAAAGCTACACTGCTGCCCCAACCCAAGCCCCACTAAATAGTTCTACGCAGTCCGCTCAAGCGCTGGTCCTTGTTCTCGCCAGTCGAGTCGAACCTTTGGGTTTGAGACCCTGAGGCAAGAACGCATGCCTGCGCGAGCCAGTCTATGTCGGACCAGAAGGCTTCGGGCGGTCTTGTCTGAGTGAAGAGCCCTTGGCCTTTGGATGTGGGCGGTGGCGCACGCGCACAATCTCCAGCATTGATTACAGTATCTTTTTCTAAGTTTGTCAACAAGTGCGACCACTTTTCGTCTTCTTTACAGTCGATGGCCCATGGCCTGACTAGGTATCTTCTCCGACGCTCCTCCTCAGTTGTCGCACTTCGTGAGCTTGGCTTCTAAGGCCGCACTTCAGGCAAGAGCAGTCCCGTAAGAGCCGGGGGGGGGGGGGCATTGGACTGGAATAGCCAGACAAGCTCTCCACCACAAGCTCAGATCATGTCATGCCCTAAACCCCTTAAACTTGTTTGTGCAAGTGTCCAGCGTGATTAAGGCTTGGTGCGTCATCTGGGCACGCTTGCGGCCAACTTGCGCAAAGCAGATGGCCAAGCAATTAGGCCAGGGCAGTTCGATCGGTTGCTGGACAGGCTATGCTATGACCCCTGCCCTGTACAGAAGGCTTCAACGGCGAAAAGTTGACAGACCTGAAAGCACATCCCGACCATGAGCATCTGAAACACACATACCTGAACCCGCTCAATGGCAGGTGACAAGAACAGGGACCTGGGAAGGAAGGTGCACCACTCCAGTCTCATGAGGATAGACGTCTCGCGGCCTCGCACATTTCTTGTGCTATCAGGTGAGGAGCCTGCGGGAATGCTGGACAGGCCAATAGTCTGTCGGCGTGTGTCCGGAGAGCCGGAAGTTAGTTTCTGTCACTTGTTGTCAGGCCCGCTCCTGGACCCTGCATCTCACGAAGAGTTCTTCTACTGCGGCGCCACCGGCATCCGTGTGTCTCAAAATCCTTGCCAGGATCCGGATTACGTGCGATCGTTCGGGGGCTTATGAACAGTAGAGATGAAGATCCGAACTGAGTTAATTTGCCGAGATGCGGCACACTCCATGTCATGCCCTGAAGGAATTAAACTTTGTGCTCCGGTGTGCGGAGCAGCTGCAGTCTAGTGGCGCCTTCCCGATCATGCCTTGTGGCGTGGCAGAGGAGTTAGGGCATGGATGAAGTCTGTGTTTGCGGGCGAAACTGCGAACCTCAAGCAGGAGAGCACTCGACGGGACATTGCCGAGAGTCAGGCAGGAAGGGCGCGGGCGCCAAGACAAGTGGATCCAATTTCTTCCGTGGCTGTAGGCAGAAGTCTCGAAGCCGCGCGGGTCTCGAGGAGATGCCGGGGCAACTGTGGGCAGTGCTATATACAAATTTCGAGCAGAGCAAATTAAGATGTCATGAGAGCGACCTTCCTTTCGACCAGCCAATCGCAAGGACCGGTGTGCGAGGAAGCCACACGCCCGGTGCAACAGTTAAGGAGCTGGCAGTGCTTAGAGGTGAAGGCCTCGAAATCAAAGGCAAGGAGCCCAAGGAGTGTGCTAGGCCCCTATGCCCCAGCATTTGGATTTTGGATTGCGTGTTCTGGCGAACCTTCAAGCTGACGTTGGAGTGGTGCTGGGATGCAGGAGCCGAAGCACCGGCGCCGACTGCAAGTCTGTGTCAATTGACGTCGATGCCGCACAGTCCTCAATGCAACTGACACTCACTGCGCTACCGACTGAAACCGAAGCTGTGCGGGAAAGAAAAGGTTCGAGGATGTGCTGCCAAGTGTCTACAAAAGCCACAGGCTCGAGTACAGGGGCTTCAGTCTCAGGCGACAGTGGGTAAGGCCCTTCCTGCGTACTCGTCATGACTGCACCCAGCCTCCAAAATCACGCATCGCTGGCTTATCCGAGAAGAACTGGACATGTGCAGCTTGGTATCGCCCGAAGGAGGCCGTGGGCGCTGGCCGGGCTCTTCCCCTTCGATTTTGCCCACCGACAAGGCAGTTCCAGGCCGAGCGCGTAGTTGATGCCTCCACTTTGCCGTGGATTTGGAGTGTCTGTACCCAGGTCGCGAGACAGCAGGCGGAGCGCTTGGATCAGCTGTGTGTCTCAGCTCAAAGCCACTACTCGCAGCGAGATGCGTTTCTGCCACGAAGTCGCGCTTCACAGTTTGATGTTCCGTACTAAACTCACGGCAAGATAGACAGCTAGATGGATAGACGGATAGATAGATCGATAGATAGATAGGTAGATGGGCAGGTGGGTAGGTAGGTAGGTCGGTAGGTAGGTAGGTCCAGGCAGGCAGGTAGGAGGTAGGTAGGTAGGTAGGTAGGTAGGTAGGTAGGTAGGTAGGTAGGTAGGTAGGTAGGTAGGTAAGGCAGGTAAGGCAGGTAGGTAGGTAGGTAGGTAGGTAGGTAGGTAGGTAGGTAGGTAAGCAGGTGGATAGATAGGTAGATAGACAGATAGACAAATACATAGCTAGATAGATACTCGTAGATACATAGGTGGCTCCCACCGGCAGGTATGGATACGACATACATGAATAATCATGAATATATATATATATATATATATATGTAGTGTTTGTCTGTCTGTCTGTCTGTCTGTCTGTCTGTATGTATGTATGTATGTATGTATGTATGTATGTATGTATGCTGTATGCCTATGCATATGTATTTGTATATGTATATGTATATAGATAGGTAGACAGATTGGTAAATAGACATACAGAGCCACACACATACGTGCATACATCTTCATATGTTTAGAGACATACGCTCTTCATTCGTAGAAACAGTGCGTGGCATGCTTTATTGTTCCAGGAACACGCGACTTTGCCCTCACCCCCTTGCACCACAGCTCCCTTTTACCGAGAGGGACCATCCGGCCTCACATGTCATGCCACTCCCACAGCGATGTGCGGTCTGCAGTTGCAATATCAGACGGCATCACGATTGCTTGAGATTTGGCACTCTGCAAGTTGCACTGTCTGACGTGTTGGGCACAGTCGACGCAGAGAATAAGATATGATCGACATGGCCTGGCAACATGCCAAATGTGCTCAGTCGAAGAGTGGACAAGGGATGCTCGAGTTTGTTTCACTGTTGTGGGTGCTTACATGCAAATTCCGTCGACGTGAAATGCCCTAACAAATCCAGTCGCCCAGGCTCCGACCTTGCCGGTGCACAGGCAAAGGCAGGAGCCTTGGGCTCGTGGTCTTGGATTTCTGTAGGGAGACATCGACTTCCGCTGTGGAATTTCCTTAAGCGGAAGATGAAAGCAGAACACATCGCTAGCATTAGTTAGTCTTCACGGCCTCACCTAGCTGCAGTTCCAGCTGGCTGGCTCGCAGCAGCATCACACCTGACGGCATGAGCAGAGACAGTACCTGTACCTTCCCATTCGCAGGCAGCCCTGCTGATGGGAAGACGTGCTGCAGTTCTCCCACCTGCACTTCCCCAACGGTAGTGACAGGGCGCTCGAGGCGTTTTGCCCAGCACTCAGCACAAAGACTCTTTAAGTTGCTGCTGTACAGGTGGGTTGCAGAGCAGCGTGTGACAGAGAGACGTGCAGGCCTTGTGGAAGTTAACAGATGGGGTGCTGGTCGGAACATGTGAATATTTGCCATGCGGCTCTCAATATTTGCGGGCTAGGGCTGTGGCAAGCCTTCAGCCTTAATCCACCAGCTCAACACCAAAATCTTGCACGAAGCGGTTCAAAATCTAACATTCAGCGCTGTAGGCTTGTGACTTTACACATTCGCCTGCCTGCAGGGAATACCTGCCGCAACTCGCGTCGAATTCAAGAATCGAGCCCATGAACACCCAGAGCTTAACCTCAAATGAGGTGTTGCACTGGCTGTGGACATGTGTACAGCTCCTCTCTAATATACGTTCACTACTCTCAAACCGTGTTCTGCAGAGCTTCATCGAGACGGTCGCATGCCAAGAAATGGTTGCGTTTCCTGTTAAGAGCATCAAACATCCTCAGATGTCTGTGATACGCATTTGCCCATGTAGAGTTTGAAAAGAACATGTATACAGACATACATGTATTCATACATATACAGGATGGCATGGTGCAGGGAGAGATATGTATATACATATATATATATATATATCCGGTTGTGGAACAAGGACAAGGCAAGAATGGCTACCAAGAAATCAATCTGCGAACCCCAAGCCCGGAAACTTCAAAAACGCTGCAAGCCGGGCTAAAAATTAAATCTTCAAGTCGTGTGCATGCGGACAGACACGTAGCCTTACCAGTGAGAACCAGGAGTACAACACGATAAGAATTGTAGCAACAATGATGGCAATGATCATGCGGCTGGAAACATGAGTTATTAGTATTCACGCCACTACGGGTGAGGAGAAGAACACCTGGTACCTACATGCAATCGTTCACCTCTTTGCACATACACGCAGATGTACCCATGTGTATGTCTGTGTGTGTAAGTAATGTGTAGTAGGTCATGTATAGTATGTAACGTGTAATGTATTGTAAGGAAATGTAATGCACAGAGTGACCGCATTGTACTGAAGCCTCGCCTGCTTTGCCGAGTGTGAGTGCTAAAAAATGCACAGTAATGTAATGCAGCGTAATGTAATGTACTGTAATGTACCGTAAAGCAATGTACTGTAGTGTAATGACTGTAATGTAACGTGTTGTGTGTGTGTGTACTGTAATGCAGTGGAATGTAGTAGTGGAATGCAATGCAACGCAATGCAATGCAGTACAACCAATGCAGTGTATTGTAACGTAATGCAATGTGTAATGCAATGTACGGTCATGTGTAGTGTAATGTGTAGTGCAATGTAAGTATGTATGTACATATAGAACTGCTCAAGCTGAGCCCCGAAGACGAAGCGATCGCGGAAGAGGCCTAGCAGGCCGGATGAGGGTGCTACTCTGCCTGGGCGCCTTCGAAATTTTCGACACTCAGGTAAGGGGTTTTGCGTTGAAGATTATAACAAGTTTTTAACGGGGGTTATGCGCGAGCCTGCGGCACAGTCGCTGCTTCGGTTTGTGGCATATGCAACCACCAAACATTTCAAAGCCCCGTGAGGTGAAGAGGTCATGGGCAGCTTGATGGTAACATGTTCCGGCAGCTGTTTCAGCCCCTCCTGGTCCTCCACCTGTGTCCCTCGCCTTGTCAACTTTGCCAATGGCTCGCTCGTCGAGTGTTCTTGCCGGCGGACTTCTTGGTGCTGCCTCTTTGGGAGGCCTAGCCTTCTTGGCGCCCGGGCAGAGCCGTCCTCAGCCGGTGCAGCCAGAGGTTGCTCATGCGCAGGGATTCCTGGCATCCAGCACTGGCACCAGCACCAGCAGCACGGGTGCTGTGCAGGGCATGGCTGGTGCCTTGGCCGTGGCCGGCTTGAGCGTTGCTGCTGTGCGAGGCGCATCGGCTGCTTCGCGCCAGCAGGGCATCAAGCCTCGCGCAGCCAAGAGCGTCGTTGCATGCAGATCTTTGGCCAAGCTGAAGATTGACGGAGTCGACCTGAAGGACAAGCGTGTCTTCATCCGCGTTGACTTCAACGTGCCTCAGGACAAGAAGGACCCGAACATCATCACCAACACGGCCCGAATCGATGCCGCTCTGCCCACCATCAAGTATGCCCTGGACAACGGTGCCAAGTCTGTGGTGCTCTGCTCGCACTTGGGCCGCCCCAATGGGCAGAAGGATGAGACTTGGCGTTCTTCTGGTTGGCTCTTAGGACTTTAACTTTCCGGGTTTCTATATGAACTATAATAAGGAGCCTAAAAGTTTGACTGTTAGGAGGGGTTCAGAAGTCAGCAAAGGAGAAGTTCAGCATGAAACCGGTCGCCAAGGTGGGAGTTCCAGTGCCCAGAGCCCCAAAGTTAAAAGTAGCGCCTATACCACCATATGACATTGCTATACATACAGGAATCCTATAGGCAAACTACCCCGTGAGCAACTTTGTTTGACAAGCTCCCAGGTGGTCGAGGAGAAGTTGGGAGTGCCGGTGAAGCTGATGGATGATGTGGTCGGCGAGGAAGTCGAGGATAAGAGCTTCCGAAAAAGCACAGACAGATAGCGCCTTGAGATTTACCCGCTTCTAGGATAACTCCTGTGTATCAGCGACATTACCTTGCAATGGGCTCCTACAGAGGCTGCCTGCGCTGACCCTGAGCCGGGCACCGTCATTCTGCTGGAGAACTCCCGCTTCTATGTTGAGGAGGAGGGCAAGGGAAAGGATGCCGATGGGAACAAGGTGGGGATAGGGGTCAACATAATTAAATCAGGATCAAAAAGAAATCAAATCAGGATCAACAAATTAAATCAGGATCAAAAAAATAAACGATAAAAATACAAGGGGGGCTAGGGAAGGAAGGAAAAGGAAGGAGCGAGGGAAGGAATGGAGGAAGGAAGGAAGGAAGGAGGAAAGGAAGGAAGGAAGGAGGAAAGGAAGGAAGGAAGGAAGGAAGGAAGGAAGGAAGAAGGGAAGGAAGGAAGGAGGGAAGGAAGGAAGGAAGGAAGGAAGGAAGAAGGGAAGGTAGCAAAGAAGGAAGGAAGGGATGGAGAAAGACAACGGAAGGAAGGAAGAA